TTCCAGAGTTTAAAAGAATTGAATAAAATTGTTAGATTTTATCCTATTCTTTTTAATTCTGGAAAACATAGGCACTTGACAGAAATAATTCATTAGGTTTTTCAGGTTGTTAAATAAATAATTAAATTCAAAGATTTTTTTCTATATTTTTGGATAATGGAAAACCTAGGGTACTTTCAATTAATATAACAAGTATTTTTTTCTATATTTCAGATTATGATTAGTACAACATTTTCAAAAATATTCGTTTATATCTATCCAAGTAAATTACTCCAAGTTCTATGAAACTAAAATTCACCCATATGTTTATTTAGAATATTTTTCCCCAAAACACACCATTTTTTCCGACTTTAAACTTTTAGAAAAGGTGGTATACTAGCAACAATAAATACAATAACCTCAGGAATTTGAAGTTCTTAAATTTTGATTATATTGTAAAAAAAAATTATTATTAAAGATGAAATGGTTAAGGAATGGAGTAGTTTTGTCTAACTTTAAATTTAAAATTTTGTTTTTAATTACAAGTGGGTTACACATAAAATATTTTTTTGATCCAAAGTGAAGAATATTTAGATGAAACCTTCTTCACCTTTTAAATGTGATTAGATGAAAAAGTTTCTCAGACGACTTGGGAAATTACCAAAAACACCCAAAAAAAAAAATCCTAAAGTATCTGTTAATATGGTTTAAATATAATTTTTGAAATTGAATAAAATTTTTTTAAAAATATTTCGATGTGCCTAATCCTATTAAAAACCAACCAATATAAGCTCCATTCCAAAATTTGAACACACTCAAAATCAAAAATAGGAAAAAAAAAAATACAATTTAGTATATTTTTACAAACTTAATATTAAAACACATTTAAGTTACAAGGTATTAATGTTTGAATAAGTAATCATTTTTATCCAAATAAAAGAAAAAAAATATAAAAATCAAAAAAAAAAAAATAAGAGAGTCCAAAATAATGTAACGAGGGTTACAGAGAATACATTGATAAATTTGTATAAATTTCATCAAAAATTGTTGATCGATCAAATGATATGATAACATCAACCAATTGTATGTGATTTTTCTATTTAACGTTTCTCAACACTAAAACTTTTATCCGCATCCAAAAAAAATTCCCTTCAAAAGAAACAGATTACATAACTGTAAAAAAGGAAAGGGAAACAAAACAAAAAAACAAAAAATGAAATAGTTTGTAAAATAAAAATTATTCCCAAATTAAATTTATAATGGAGTAGTGTTATTCTTTCAACCTTTTAAATTGTGACAAAAATTTTGGAATTTAGTTTATATTAATATCAAATGAATCTCAAAAAATAAATAATCAAAAACAAGTACATTTTTAGAAAAAAGCCCCTATTACCAGACATGTATTTTCAAATTTAAATCACTGTGAATTTTAAATTTGAAAAAAAAAAATTTCATTTCGAAGTGTCGAGTATTTCTTTTCCTATATTATGAGATTTTATAATTTTTTCGATTGTTCAATTTTGAAAGGAGTGATTTTATCGAAAGAGTGTTTAAATCATAGTTTTTTCAAATTTAGTGAGTAATAAAATAGCTTAAATTAGATTAAATCAGAATTATATTTGTTTTGCAATTGAAGAATATAATTCGTTTCTAATTGAAGAAATTTAATATTTAGTTAGATAAAGAAGAATAGTTAATTTTTTATTCAAATTTTGGTTTATTTGAAAATTAAGAATTCTTTGAAATTTTTTTTTTTTTAATTGATTTTTTTGCTCATTGAATTTTCTTATTTGAAGATCCTTTGATATTTTTTTATTCATATTTGAATTTGTTTACTTAAGATCTTGAAATTATTGTTTTTTTCAATAATTGAATTTTTTGATCAATGATCTTATGATTTATTTTTTTTTTTTAAATTTTATCCTAAAAGATCGAATGAATTTTTTATTTTTGTATATCTTTTTTTTTTTCAACAAAAAGAAGAACAATTTCACTTTTACAAGAGACTTTATTGTGGTAACCAAACCACCTCTAGGGTATGAATCAAATCCATTGATAAATAACTAGTCACTTAAGTAGGATGTTATTATGTTTAAACATTCCTGTTAAATTATTAGGTGTTGAAATTTATATTTGTGTGACTAAACCCAAATTCAACAATTTTAACACATCAAAATTCACTTTTTGAAAAAAAAATCTTATTTAATCAATTCTCAAAGAAATACCAAATGAGAACCATTCATGGATTGAAATGTTAACAGTTTTTTTATATAAATCAATACTCACAAAAAAAAAATAAATAATTATCAATACAAATAAATCATGGGTGTTTGAAAAATATTGAATTTGGGCCAAAAAAAAATACATTGGTTAATTTCTTTAAATTCTATTAAGAATATTGATAGATCAAATGGCCAGATATTATCAACTAATTTTATTTGTTTTCTTCTATTTGGAAGAAACCAACTTTAACCTTAATCAACTGTTTGTAAAAAAAATTTGATCCGACTGAAACAAGTTACATAATTCAAAAAATGAAATGAAAAAAAAAACTAAAAGATGAAAAAATGATTTTCATATTTTATCAAAATGAAAAGTATATTCAATTTGAATGATCGTGTATTATTATGATTATTCGCTACGTTTTAACTAAGTGAAAATTTTTGAATTTTAGTTTAAATCAAGAAATTATCAATTAAAGTTGTTAAACGTTTTTATTTAAGAGTATTATTTTTTTAAAATATGATCCTTCTGAAGAAAGTTTCTTTTTTTTCTTCTCTAACAATTACAATAACAAAAATAAATATCAAAACTATACTCTTTTTCAGCCAAAGACTCCCGGTTTTATTTAAGAAATAGAACATATTCTATGAGTTTAATTCACCTTCTTCTCAAACTAAAATTTCAATTGATAGATCTGATCATTTTTTCTCATTTACTCAAAATTATTTTTTTTGTATTTTTCTTTTTGCTTTTCTTTTTTTTTTTAAAAAAATTCTATTTGAATAAAAAAAAAATTGTTTTCAACCCCAAATTAAAATTCAGAAAAGTGAGACTTTCTAATATCTATTAAAATTCATACATTTACAATTAAAAAATCTTTTTGATAACAATTTTAATTTGCCAAAGAAATTGAGAAATTTTGAATTAGACCTTCCAATGAAAAGAACTCCAAAAAATTTTTGGATATGTTTTTTTTTTTTGAAATTTATGTTTTTTTCAGGGTTGATTTTATGAATCTCAACTCTAATCCAAATTCTATTATTGTTCTTATTTCTAAACAATCCAAGTTTGATTCGTTCTTAAGAAAAAAAGTGACTTTTTCATTTATCGCTGGGCCCCTTTGAGTTAAAAGAAGTTTATTATGAAAAAATAAGATCAAAAATTCTAACTTGATAAAACTATAACTTAAATTATCATTTCATCCTTATTAATCCAGTTTTTTCAAAATATAATTGATATTAAATTTCTTAAAAATCCTGAGTCCGCTGTTTGTATTGTTGTTAATTGTACTACGAAACTTTTAAAAGTCTTTAGTCATGAAAAAATATCTATTTTGTGTAAAAAAATTTTTATTAGTATGACTTTACAATCAATATCCCTTAAATTCAACTTTGGGATATTATTTTGAAAAAATAATAATAAATAGTTTTGAAAACACTCTATTCATCTAAAAAACTCAAAGGGTGAAAAATAACTGGTGATTAATAATGTGTATCCAAAAAGATCTGTGGAGTCCATAGTTTTTTTTAATATAAGATATAAACCGAAAATTTAAGAAATTTTTGGGTTATTTCTTAAATTTAAAAAAACCTAACAGAATTTTTCCAGAATTTAAAAGAATTGTGTAAAATCAAATATTTTCCTCTATTCTTCTGAACTCTGCAAAACCTTATGAACTTTTCCGTCAAGTGAATAGAGTGCTGTGGAGCGCTATTGAGTGCCTAGGTTTTTTTTTAATTCAGAAGAATATTTGTAAAAAAAAAGATTTTTCTCTATTCTTTTAAATTCAGGAGAAGTTAATGGTGGTTTTCTTGGGGTTTTCTGTTTTGTTTGTGAAGTTTTTTTGGTTTTTTTACTTTGGAAATAAACAGAAAATTTATTAAAATTTCCTGTTTATTTCTAAAGTAAAAAAAACCTAAAGAAAATCTATTGATTTTCCAAGTACACAGAAAACTCAAGAAAAGCAAACGAAAATCTACAAATTTTTAGAATAAATAGAAAACTCAAAAAAACCTAACGAGAATCAATATATTTCACAAATAAAAATAAAACTCCAGAAAATCCAAACGTGTTTTTTTTAATACTTTTTGAACCAAAATGAAATATTATTTAATTTTCAATTTTTTCAAAAATTAGAAAAAAACCTAATGGAAGTGTCCTAGGTTTTCCAGAATTCAAAGGAATAGAGAAAAATATTTGATTTTACTCAATTCTTTTAAATTCTTGAAAACCTATCTGAGGCTTTTTTTACTTTTTGTTATAAACTGAAAATTTTAATAAATTTTGGGTTTATTATAATAATTAAAAAAAATCTACCGTAAAAATCAAAAAAAAATATTTTTTCCAATTTAAAAGAGTAAATAATTCTTTAATCATTTAAAAAAAATATTCCCTGATTGAAGGATATTCATCAGACCTAATATACTGTCAAAATATAATAAAAGGTGTCTTATGTGTGAAGAAAAATATTTCCAATTTTTTACTATTTGTTTGAAAAAAATATTAATAGAGCCTGGAAAATTTGATTTTCCAATTTAAATTGTAAAATTTCTTAAAAAATAATTTTTTATACAAGACCTTTTATTAAAAAATAGTATTTAATATAAGTGAAGTTCTCAAAAAATGTTAAATTTACAAATTTAAAAAATTATTTTTTTTATAAAATTTTACAATTATCATATAGTAAACAGTTTTATTAACATATAAAACTTATATTAAAATATCAAGCGCTCTTAGCTCAGCATGTAGAGCATTTCGATTAAAACCTTGGTTCGAATCCAAGATTGGGCATTAAAATAGCCCAATTGGCCGAGTGGTTAAGGCGTTAAATTTAACATTTAATTTTATACTATGAAAAGGTCAATGGTTCAATTCCATTAGAGCGCTTGTATAAACCTTTTTTTTTAGAATTTGGTGTAGTTTTTAATGCTGAAAGAGTTTTTTTACAATCAAAAAGGTGGTTTACTATTTGGACAAAGGTTAGCCCTATTAAACTATAGAGAATAAGTTTTCAATTTTTGCAAAATTTTTTTACAGTTTTGTATTTGCTAAAAATGATGATCCATCAATAAAATATAAGGTTAGAGATTGAAGTAAGAAGAAAAACAAATTTTTTCATAAAGGTTTCTACTGTATTTAAATAAAAAACTGGAAAAATTCAAAAGAAAGAAGAATCTTCTGACAAAAATCGTATTATTTTTTTTATTTTCTACACTTTTAAAATGATAACTGATCAATGATGAAATTATCAAAGTTTTTTATAATAAGTTTATATGGTGGGTGTAGAATTCAATTAAGGGAAACAAACAGATTTGCCTTGAAACAAGAAATTTAATGGAAAAATTCTGTTTGAAATCGAAAGAAAATACATTAAAAATATAAATACGTCACTTGGTATTACTCTCAGTTGAAAAATAAATGGAACAAAATTTACAATTAACATTCCAAAAAAGGTCGAAAAGAGATCTAAAAGAAAAATTAATATTTCCAAATTTATTAAAATGCTTTAATTTTTCATTCTGCTTTAAGAGTTGTTGAATTTGACGATCTTGGTATTTTAGAAACTGAGAAATTCAAATAAATTGAATAAAATATTTCGTTCAATTTCTCATTTTTGTAATCTCATCTCTCAACTTTTAAAACATCTGAAGAGAAAGAATCCTTTTTAAAGTCAACAAATTTTAAAAAGTTTCTTCCCACTTCAATATCGAGAAGACTTTAATCAAAGCTTGTGTAAAAAAATTTGTAAAATGGAAAACGAATTAAAAATTTTTTACTATTTCTTAAAATTCTCAGTAATAAAAAGAAATAAATATCACTTCCTTTTTCAATTTTTCTTTTATACATCAGGTTCTCAAAGAAGTAAGATTATAATTTGTGGATTTGTTGTAAAATGGAAATTGGAAAGGAAGTGAAAATTTCCATTTATTAATTCAAATAACAGTATCATAGCAATTACCATGATTTTTTTATTTACTCCAATTCTGAATTGAAGGGTTTCAAAAAAATAGAGTGGAAGATAAGTTCATCATCAATATGATTTTTGGGTTGTCAATTAAAATTTTCAAGTTATTTTTGGTTTTATTATGAATTTTTAAGGGCTACGTTTGTAATCCACCAATTTGTCTGAAAACCATTTTAACCCATTTTCATTTTAAATGCAAAATTAGACTCATCAAACTTCTCTTCAATTAGGATCAAAAAACATTCTTGTGTATTTTTTACGGAATATGGACAAGAAAAATTTAGATACGTGAACGTAAACGTACTGATTAAGAAACGTGAGAACGAATAAGAAATATAATCACGCTTTTCTAAACTTCAAAATCTCTCAATAAGCAACTTTCAGAGATAGCCAGGTTTATTTGTTCTTGGCTATTGAGTTAATTGAATGTTCCATTTTCACACAAACTATAATAATCCCTACCAAGAAATTGTAATTGAGTCTTTGTTTTTTTGGCTTTTTTTCTTGATTCTTTTTGTTTTTTGTTGAATTGGATTTCTAACAACTCTTTCAAAGATATTAAGTGGTTACCTACCCACAAAAATATCGTTACGCTATATGAAGATTAAATATTTAGAACTTAAAAATTTTTAACTGATCTGATCAATTTAAATTTGTTTTGAAAAATAATTGTAATTTACAGAGTTATAATAATATTAACTATAAAATATTTTATTTCGATTGTACAAATTTATTGTCGATTCGAACATAATATTGAATATACATTAATGTAACAAACAATATTAAATAGTTGATCAATGAAAAATATTTTTGTAATTTATTTTGAGATATCGTTGATTTGAGTCTGGTACAGTAGACTTAAATAAAATCAAAAAAAAATTTATAATATTGCGAATTTAAAAACCTATTTCAATCTAAAGAGACAAGATAAATTGTAATCGATTTTTCAAATTCATTTGGGAAATGATTAAAAATTAAAAAAATTTCAAAATTATAAAAAAAACTTAAAAAAACGGTAAAAATGGGGTATCATTATACGCAAGACTAATTTTTCAATATGCAATTGAACTTGAAAAATGTGTTCTCCGGTGTTGAAATATGTTGTAACTAGGAGGTGGCAACATTGAAAAAAATTTCCTATTAAATTCACTAGTCTTTGTAGTAGTAAAATACAACCAAATCTACTACTACAAGATCAGTGAATTTTTTTGAAAAATTTCCAACTCCTAGTAACGTGAGTTTTATGTTACAAATAACACGTTCCGGTGTTTTTTGGAATCTCACTAACTCGAACCTTGAAAATTTTCTAATTAGAATTTTCACACAAACAGTGAAAATTTCAGAAAACCTTCAAACTCTCAAAAAAAAAAAATAAAATTTTAAAATTCAATTGAATTTGAAAAACTGGGAGAGTAACATTAGTATGACCCATATTGGCTATTCAAATTCAAATACTGAAAAAAAAAAAAAAATTGACAAAATCTCTATTGTTTTAGTAAATCGCTAGTTACCATAAAAAAACTCACTTACTATAAATAAATAAAAATTAAAATAACTCATTTCAACTCTCAAAATAAACGACTCTTATCTTCTACTCAAACAATCATAAGAAAGTGATCAACTTTAGGTTTTTTTTTTCTAACTCGGTAAAAAAAATAAAAAATTGGATTAAATCCAAGTAAACTCTTAAACAAAAAAAAAAATTTAAAAAGTTTGGTTTGGGATTGATTTTTTATTTATTGAATAGACTCCTAGTTGAGTCACTTTTCAAATGAGAAAATTGCAAAAACTAAAAAAAAAAAAAATTAAAATCGAAAAAATATTGGATTAAATTTTTGGTAATGTTTATTACTTTTGATAAATAAAAAAAAAATTAAGTTCAAATAAAGTTTTGAAATTGAAAAACTATTGAGACACAATCAATAGTGTTAAAAAAATTTTTGGGTTTGATCAATGAAAGATCTGATCTTTTTTTTTTTTTTTTGTTGTTAAATGGTAACGGATAGAATTGTTTTAAAAAAAATTTACTTTGCTACTTTCTTTTTTTAGTTTAATCTTCTTTTTTTTCCCTTTTTTGAGCTTTCTTGTTCTTCCTTTCTTTGTAGTTTTTCTTCTTAATCTTTTCCTTTTTGTCCTTTTCTTTGTGCTTCTTCTTTTTTCCTTTTTTTTCCCCTTTTCTTTGCTTTTTTTTTCTTTTTTCTTTTTTTTCTTTCTTTTTCTTTCGTTTTTTTTTCTTTTTCGTCCTCTTCGAAAAGTTCATCCGATTTTTGATTGAAATGTTTATGCATGAAGCGGAATTTCCTCTTGAGTTCTTTGTAGTGTCGAAATTCTTCTATCGCGTTTGTTTGGCTTAATCGGTCCAGGCTTTCAAAGGAACTTATATTGAATCTTCTTATATTTTTTTTTGTTCGTGTAAAGGGTCATGGATTCTTCGTAAAAGATTCTTTTGAGTTGTGGTGTTGAAAGCTGCTTCCAAATCATCCAACCTGCATAATTTGTGTATTGAATTTTGTTGAGAATTTCTTCAGCTGGTGGAAAAGGTAAAGATATGATTTCGTTAAAGAGGGGATAAATTGCAAGTGACCTTAATGAGTTTAATTGTTGATTGTTCAATTGTTCATAAGCAATTCTAGCTTCTGGTTAGGATCATGTTTACTGTTTTGGATTTTGATTCGAATTTCCACGACCAAACATTCTGAACATTTGGTTTGATTTATTGTTGTATAAATTTTTTTTGTTTACAGTCAGTTTCACTTTTAAGGCACAAACTTTCAACGAAATTTAAGGCACAAAAAAATCTCAAATTAAGGCACAAAATTTGGAATTTTTTTTTTTACAATTTTTTTTACTAGAATTTGAATTTTGTGCTTTAATTTGAGATTTTTTTTGTGCCTTAAATTTCGATGAAAGTTTGTGCCTTAAAAGTGAAACTGACTGTATATTATTTCTCTCCAAAGTCAATTGTTAATTATAAGACAAATTGCTCTGTGGTGTTTTGTGGGAAAATTTTTGTCTAATTTTCTTTTCAGATAACAAAATGAAAATAAAAATACATAAAGGAGTCAAAAGTTATGCTATTACTATGATTATCCAATTCCAAAATTCAAAAATTTTAAGTTCACATTCCAAAATATTTTTATATGTTAATTAGTCGAAGCAAAATCCAAAATATTTTTCTTATTTAGAAATGATATTTTTTGACATTAAATGAAACTTCCTTCCTGAGCTCTAAGAAAATTTATCTAGTCTTCTAATTTGATTGTAATAGTAATAATTAATATACATTTTGGAAATTGAAATAAAAATTTTCATTTATTAATGGGAAAATAACAGTAGGTAATATAATTAAAAAGTAAGCCCTTAAAAAGATGATCATTCTTTATTTGAGAAATGAGGAGTTGAATAAATTCTATTCAATATCAATATCTTTGTCAGGGGTTTAGAAATTTCTAAATAAACCAGAAAATGATCACAATAATTCCCAAGTTTTTACTTTTTTCTCAATTTTGATATATTAAAACAATTTTTAAAACCCTACCAAAGGAAGAACTAAAACAAGAAAAAAGAATAAAAAATTATTAAATATGTGTAAGGGTTCTAAAAATGATTTTTAAATGGACTATTCTCAAAAAGTTAATTTTTTTCTAGCTTTCTTTATCATATTTCGAGAAGGGGAAAGATAAATTTTGTCTAAATATTTCATTTTTTCCTGCTGAGATCTTACTGAATAAAAATTTGGGAGATTTACAAACCACCGACCTCTCTTTAAAGTATTTGATAGATTAAATTTCAATTGTAAATATAAACACCATTTCAAAAACTTTGTAACTCATCTGAAATAATAAATTGATATATATATATATATATATATACATATATATATTTATACATACATACATCATTTACTTTTCAATAACAAT